AAAAATAGTAACATGCTCAGATTGTGTTAGCGGGTGAGTTGTGCATTTAAATAGATTGTTTGCTGTATACGGGAAGAAGTTCGTAGATTATTATAAAGCGCTTTCGCTCGATATGCAAAACCTGGCTAAAAAGAAAGTAGCAAAATCGAATATGCTTACTACCCCTTGCAACACCGTAAAGTTATATTTTAAGAAGCAAGAGTGCAACGTCCGTATCCGATAAGACGAGCCAAATGGGAAATTTCGAATAAAATGTATTTCCCAAGGATGTAATATCAGACCTGACTGAGCCTTGAACAAACCCACAACCCGCAATCTCATGATTACGAGTTGGTAACCTAAATACTAAACTAGCTGTGCTACATGGATGGGTGAGGCCATTTTTCGGTGTGAATGGAACTAGAGGCGACAACAGAATAAAGCCAATGCGGCGATTAGTCTAGCATGGACAATGACATTTTGGAGTTTGGAACAAGGGGAGAATTATTACCTGAAAAGGTCCAGAAACACAGGGTTTTTTTTCTTCTATTTATGCAAGTTGTTTGACACGTATCGACACAAGTTAAAGGATTTAGGTGTGTATATGTGCATGAGAAAGAGAAAGGAGAAATGTCATTTTAGTAAGAGTTTTACGGTATTTGCAAAAAGTGGATCATATGAGCGTCGAAGATAAGACGTGTTTCTAGAGATGAACATATTATACAAAAAGAAGGGGATGAGGGTGATAGAGATGATAAATGTTTAATAGGTAGAAAAGAGTAAACCACAACAAAGTGTCCGCCAACCACCCAAAGAGGAAATTCGAGTAAAGCCACTTTTGGTGGGAAAGGCGCTTTACACGAATGTCCTATTTGGCTCGGTCCTTTCGGGGATGGACGCTAAACTCGATGTTGAGAGGGGCGTTGAAACCTATACCATTTCACATTTTTCCAACATGAACAAAAACTTACCATAATCAGGAGCCAGCGAAGTATCCAGAACTTCCACTATCCCCCGTATCCAGGACGAAAAATGAGAAGTCATCATCCTGTTCGGATCATCCCGGGTTGAAGAAGTTTCATTGCCACCCTTTTCGCTCAGCTTGTTGTCGTCGTCATGGCAACGCCCATCTATGGTGTTGACACCATCCGTCACAACAACGACAACACCGACCTTTGAACTGTGCTCCCTATTTCCTTGACCTTGACCAACTGCTAAGAAAACGCACAAACACGTGCAAACGAGGAGCACAGGAGATGGTGGCGTCATTGTCCTGTTTTCTATTTATAGATTGGACAAAATGTTGATTGTTTCTTTCCGAAAGTCACTGCAGCCTCAGTGAAGAAAGCCGTGGGTGTGCATACCACACAAATACACAAGATTTGTCCCTTGATGTGTCTTCATGCTGAAAGTAAAAAAAAAAAATATCTTGACAAGCGTACAAAGAAATTAAAGACACTTTTTAAAATCGATTGTTAACGACCTTCCCCTCTGTCATGCCAATTCTAAAACGGGCTTCTGTGGGATCATCAGATGCAAACCCATTGGCTGCCACTTCTGACCTTAAGGTCTTTGAAAAGTTTAATATGCTTTCTCCTGTTTCGTCGTATCTGATATTGACCTTATCGAATTGTTTTGGAATTTTTTATTTATTTATTTATTTA